TGTACCTTGTTTTCTATTCGAAGTATTCATTTTCACAATAGACATTTATACACCATTCGATAGAGAATTTCAAGGGCTACATTTTACACTATTTATATTTGATATACGAATTATTTGAATTTTCGGCTTGGATGTCCGCTTGGATGCCCACTGTGTAGTGCGCGTAGGTATGTAATTTGTCTTACTAGGGAAGGTCCCGAAGTGTAACCCTCAGTTTGAGCGGAAAACATACCAGCTCGACGCGCTGATTGCAATGGCATAAAGCATTTTTCCCTATGGCTCTTGAAGATCCGTTTTTCAGAAAATCTGAAACCAAAACCATTCTTAACGAGGCAAAGTTGTAGCGCGCACATTTCAGATTAGAATGAGACATCTTCCAGTTCTATACGACCTTTCGTTGCAAAGTTATAGAATTTACAAGAAAGCCCTAAATGTCCATTGTCAGCTCAAAGCTAGAGAAATAAGAAGAAATTAATTTAGGGCTTTTCTTGCAAATTCTTTAACTTTGCAAAAAAAGGTCGTATGGAGGTGGGAGATCTCACTTTAATCAGAAATGTGCGCACTATAACTATTCCTTGTTAGGAAAGGTTTTGGGTATTTTTTAGAGTTTCTGAAAAACTGGTTTTCCAGAAAATCGAATATTCAAGAGCCACGGGAGAAATGCTTTATGCCATCGTAATCAGCTCATCGAGCTCTATAAATTGATATGTGTCCCATTCGAAACTGAACGTCACACTTGAGGACCTTCCCTCGTTATATCAGAATAGTAAGTATTCCGGAAGGAGATGATTTACTTTATTCATACAAAATCAAGTTAATCATATCATTTTTAAGAACATGGCGTTACGCTTGATTGATTCGCTGATATTCATATCTGTTGTTCTCCTCACCCGCACGTATGCAGAACAGAACATCGTTTCAATAAATGTAACCACCTGTCTCGTTTATGTAGTCGTTGATAAAAAAGGTTTTTATCTTTCTTTCTCCCTTTCTCCAGCGCATCTGTACACATGATTCTTCAACGTTTTGCCACATGACGCAGGAAAACTTAAATAATTATGCACACGAAGTCAGAAGAAAAGAAACATTGTATTATACTTTCATTTTTCTTTCACATATATACATGCGTGTTGCTTGCGTGTACATTTATGGATACTGATTGTTGTTATTAATATAAATTCTCTTACTAATAACTAGGTGTCAAACCAGAAACACGCATGGCATCAATAGCAACAACAGAAGCAGTTACAATGATCAAGTCGATCCCCCGAAATAATTTTCGAGATAATGAATGGTACGAAGGTCATCCGTACGTAAGATTAATTGGGATACCTTATGCTGAGTATAATGAGAAAGAGAGAGAACGAAAGAGAGTGAGATAACACTAATGTGTTTCTTGAAAGATCATAAAGAGACTGATAGTGCTCATTTCTATCTTTTTAAGCCAAAATCATTCTAATATTTCTGATCATGAAACAGTTGTTGAACTATCCAAAAAAGGATAGAATACAGTGGAAATACCTAAAGTTGCATTAACTTCTGGATTGTTCACTGTCTAGCTAAATTTAGATTGGACTAATACGTTTCAGAATAAGCTAAACAAAAAATAAGTTTCGATGCTGATTAATTGTTCCACGTAAAGAATTTAGACGTTCCCTCATGTAAATGACGATTACACGGCATCGATGTATACGTGAGATTGGGACACATTAAGGGCCCCCCGTCAGAAATAATCTCCGACATCATACAACTGATCCTGACGAAACTTCGCATAAATATTTGGCTTAATGAGTTACGGGAATGAAAAATTTCTTTTGTCTCCAGGTCTTACCGTTTCGGAATTTTCTAGAGATCAAGGTCCAAAAAAGACCCTGAAATGTTTCCCAAAATCTTTTAATATACTTCAAGTTGGAGAGTTCGGGTTTGTTTTGTTTTAAACTAGACACCTAACTACATCGTCTGACCAGCGCCGATTTTTCAATTAAGCCTTTATTGGTTTTCCAGGCAACTAACAACCTTCAAAACCCGAAAAAGCCTTCCGGATTTTCTAAAAATCCTTAATTTGATAAAAAACTAAGACCTAATTCAAAAATCGGGCACCGGTCAGACGATGTAGTTTCTTCTCCTCTTTGAAACAAAAAAAGAATAAACTCTCTATGACAAATCACTATAAAAAATCTTGGGAAATACTTCAGGTGTAACTCTTATATAGAGGAAACGCTGTATTAAACGCTGTATGAAATAGTCAATTTTAGAACTTCTAGGGAAATGTCTGTAACTTTTTGATGCAGAGCCATACAGGACTGTGCGAGGTCTTATTTTGATCAGAAACGTTTGCTCTACAAATGTGTGTGTTTAGAAAAATTTTAATTGCTTTAGTATCCAGGAAAAAGCTATTATTTGAAGATTCGATTTTTCGAGGCTCTTAGAAAACTTGCTAAAAATTCCCGAAAAACCACTTTTGTAACCAAAAGCGATACAGATTCTGAAAGGAGACACTGCAGGCTATCTTCCCATGTGCTTATCTCTTGACCGAAAATCACCATTCCTGAGGGGCAGGGGGAGGGCCTTTAATCAATTTATCGTCACTTGAAGCTCACATTCAGACAAAATAGAAAGACATTCTAAAGCTCAACACATTTTATTCACAGGCATTTCACAAATCTCGAAAATTGGTGCTGCGTTAATTCAATTCTTCTATTCAAACCTCTCCCAACTATATCATGCAATAGCGTCTCTCACAACAAAAAGCGTCTCATTACGACACTGGAAATTACCTATGAGGTACCCTTTTGTTTTCTCTATGTTCTTTCCGTAGTATATGGAGTCCGAGATTGCCAAACTTGGAATGTTAGTGGTCGAAAGTCGCAATACTTCGCCGTACTTCAGGCATCTCTTCGCAATTACACTTAACTGTATTCTCCCATCTTTCCATTAAAACTGACTCCGTTCATAAAGTCGGAAGTCACTATATACAAATAGATGAATGAATGAACATATATTTAGGCACATTTAACGTACACGAACGCGGACAAACGCAAATCTTTTCAAGAGATAGAAAGGAAGAATAAAAAACACATCTGTCCCAAACTTTTTCTCACTTGAGTATTTGACCGTATGTTATTTAATAACAACTTATTTTAGTTTCAAACCAATCAATGACATGAAAATGGTTTCGTACTCAGTCGAAGATTTTCTGTCTAACTCATCTCTGTTCTGCGAGGACGTCACCCCAGGTGCTGTTCATACGACCGCATCAAATTACAAGCTACATCGCACACGACTGAAAACGGTGGATTCATCGTCTGATGAAATTGCTGTGCCATCGAACGATAGTTCGCTGATGACACCCTTCAAACGCCAGAGTTCATTTCGTCCAACGGAAAAAAAAGTGGTTCAACCATCGTCTTATTACGACACGATCGAACTCGATAATAAAACGCCGGAGTCGTCTACTTCTGAAATACCATCACCTGTCATCGTCAACGACGAACCAGAGAGAACAATGTTGAAGTGCGCAAAATGCTCGACTACTAAGAAAGATGAATACGAAGAGAAAGAAATAAACAATAGACCTTCCAGTACTAGTGACTTTGGTGATTTTGGTATGTCGGCTTTTCCACACAACTAGTTCTCTATGTCTGGAATTCAGAATCAAATAGGGAATTTGCGTCGACAGAGGCAAAACGACCTTCGTTCAGCACTAATTAAAAATTGTCTTTCTTGTATTTAGACAGTACCTCAACTGACGAAGATATAAGTCGTCCATCTATCGCTCATTTCACATATAATCATCGTGATGCCGGTAGCCGGATATTGCTGCAGCATGACCTGGGCATGAGTACAGATAATTCAGCGTCGTCCATCTCGCTCCTGTCCTATCACATGTGTGCCATCTGTTACGAAGACAAACGTCTTCGCCCACTGGTCCAGTGTTGTCATTCAAACGTGTGTCTCCAATGTCTTCAACAATATATTGCTTCACACGTCAATGAGGCCAAAATCAAAATTTCATGTCCAATTCATAAGTGTCCGTACATATTTACACGTGATGAGGTTCTAAGTTACGTGTATCAAAATTTAGAACTAAAAGAAAAATACATACGGTTCTACGCTGATATAAACAAAGAAATCAACATAAAAACATGGTAAGCAGGTAGAGAGAAAGAAGTAACTAAAACTAATTGTATGTGTCTCTAGCCCAAAATGTTGTTCTATAATGGAATTGGACAAAAAACACTTTACATCCTACAAATATAGTCCACGTAGAGTGGAGTGTAACGAGTGTACATTCATTTGGTGTTTCCACTGTCACAGTCCTTGGCACGAAAAAATGACATGCAAAGAGTACATGGAGGGCAATAAACTGCTCAAGCAGTGGGCTCATCAGTACGACGAAAATCAGTTTAATGCTCAACAATGTCCAAAGTGTAAAGTGCGTATCTCACACTGACATCTTTAAATACTTTAAGAGAATTGGTTATGCTATTTTAAGGTGTTTATTTCGCGTAACGGCGGATGTCCTCACATGACTTGTACAAAATGCAGTTGTGATTTTTGTTATAATTGTGGAAAACGACGTCTCGGAATAAGATTTCTTGGTGAGTATGAAGAAGCTGCCAGTTTAAAATTGACGTTTTCTTTTCTTCGAGGACTGATTTGATCTCACATTAAGCTGGGTAATAGTAAAACATGAAGACACCCACAGACAGCACACATTCACCCGCAGATAGTCACAGACAGCATAGAGACAGCCACAGTCAACTAAAACCAACCAGAGATAACTACGTAGACATCCATGGATGTCTGTGGCTGTCTCTATGCTGTCTGTGGCTATTTATGGATGCCTGTGTGCTGTCTGTGGGTGTCTTCATGTTTTACTATAACACTATTAAGCCGCATGCAGTTCGAAGTTACAGCACTATTTTCTTTTTGACTTTTTTATGCATGGTTGGATAGAGCTTTTCGAGCCGATCAAGAATATGTTGATTTTAGCCTTCCGAATTAATCTTTTCAATGAGAAAATTAAACAATACGGAACAGGTCTTACATTTCAAATAACCGTTTGGGCACATAAAATTCGAATAATTTTTTCTGTTTTCATTGGGAACTCTGCGGTTTCTTTTCTTAGATTCAGCGCATAAAACTGAGCCTAGATCTATTATTTAGAGCTTTATCACATATAATATGGTCAAATTAAAAATTTATTTACTAATATAGCTTAAAGTGTATCAATGTTTTTGCAAACCTATCTAGTTCTTTTTGTTCAGAGCAGGACACAGTCATATGCACTGTTTTCCACTCGTCTTTGCACGGGTAAAAATAATATGGAGAGCATTTTTTGAAATTTCTTTCCGCAAATTATCGAAATTTTCATCGAATATGATACTTTTATTGCACAAAAGTTGAGTTCTGATAGAGCATTAAGAGTGGAATTCTGACTTTTGCGCCTCTGATTTAGAAAAAATGAATTTTTTCAGCAGCGGAAAGAAATTTCAAAAAAAGGCTCAGTTATGCACTCAATCAAAGAAAAGAAACTGCAGAGTTCTCAAATGAAAATAGAAAAAATTATTCGAATTTTACGTGCCGTAACGATTATCTGAAATGTAAGACTCTTTCCGTATTGTTTAATTTTCTCATTGGAAACTTTTTTTTTAAGGTAAATTGTCTGTGTGGTGGAAGAAAATATTGACTGACAATTGAACAAAGTGAAAAATTAGCTTTTTTCCCCGCAAATATTAAGTTTTGAAAATTTCTCTCCCGAGAACGAAACGTAACATAGTTCAATTCTCTATAAAAAATGTATTGAGTGTCTTATTGAAAAACATAAGGATGAAAACCGATAAGAGAAATTGTGGGAAGTACAAAAATGGAAAAAAAATAAATTAAAAAAACGTTTTTCTGACTTTATTCGTTGTGGGAGAAAAACAGCAAAAGTAGCCATCGTGTACGTCTTGAAAAGCTCTATCTTTTACCTATAATTAAAATTTTTTCAATTGAAATTGAGGGAGTAAGAATTTTATGATTCGTTTGTAAATTTCGTAAAAATGAGAATATTTTGCAAATAAGTAGTGATTTTCAATAAAACATATCCGGTTCAGTCAAAACTTCATCTTTTCAGGTTGAATTCAGTTTTATTCTGAAAAACAAATGATTAGTCTATCTTGCCAAATCACTAACAGTTGACGAAGATTTCTTTGTTATAGCACGCAGAAAAGATTCAAATTTTCAGTGTTTTCGCTCAATTTCCAAGAAGTTAACCTTTGAGTCAAACATTTTGATTCAAACACATTTTGCTGTATGCGATGAGAATGAGCGCACTTGAAATTACACAAAAATATATTTCGACTACGTTCTAATGCTTGTGTGAAACCATTAAAAAAAAACTAACTCTGTATGAGAACATACGTTAATTTTTTACCTCGCACAATTTCTCTTGTCATTTTTCACCTTCATGCTTTTCAATAAGACACTCGATACAATTTTTGTAGAGAATTGAAAGGAGAATCTAATGAAAAGAAGACCAATCGGACTTAAATATCAGGAGAAAAACACAAAATACTGAGAGGTCGGTTTCTTCTGCCCCATCTGCTAAACTTGATCAGGAGAGGCAGTCAATACATTAATTTATTGTTAATATTAAAGCACAAACTTTTAAGGACAAATTGTCTAGAAGGGGAAGAATCAGATGGAAAAGAATATATGATCAATACGATCTCGATAATGAAATGTGCGTTGTCCTTTCTAGGCACACATGAAAGTAGATTTTTACCATTAGGTAAGTGAACGGCGATATTTAGTTACAGTGGATGAAATAGTTGAAGTGAATTTTAGGCTGTAAATTCAATTTGTATCCGGACAAGCCCGTTCTTCGTCGAACGCTTCGCGGTCTGGTAGTTGGAGCAGCTGCTGTTGCCGCTCCAGTTGCAGCTGTAGGGGCAGTCGCTCTTCTCGCTGTGGGTACGACGATCGGCGCGCCAACATACGGTACTTACCGTCTTGTCAAACACATCCGCCATCGTCGTCAACAACGCCAGAATGCTCAACAAAGCGCTCACTTGCGCTGGCCAACGTTGGGGGTCGGTGTCTCAGACGATGATTCAGTTATACAACTGCCTGAAGCACGCGAAGAACGAGACTTTAGACAAGCTATTGAGGCAAGCAGACAAACATTTGCGGAGGAACAACAACGAAAGGTAGGTTATCCGCCATTTGTTGTTATCTGAAGTAATGATCGCTAAATTTCAGGCTGCGATCGAGGAGAACGATGATGGTCCCACGACGAAGAATAGCAGTTCGAAATCGCTTAATTTAACAACGAGATTCGATGATAATGACGATATTGTTCGCCTACCAACACCAGTCCGAGGATATTTTGGGAAAGACTTCGACAACAGAAACGACCGCCACCACTACTAATTAGTTTCAATCCAGTGCGACTGACTTAAGAGTGATATCATCCTCATTTATTTCTTATCACTAATTCGATTACTGTGATTCAGACATCTGTAATTATCATTTTAACTGTGCTTCTCAGCTTTTACTCTCAGACAGTTTGGCAATTTTGGGACTGTAAGGTCATTTTACTTCTGCCGTTACAATCTAATTAACTTCCTTCACGTACAGGTGCACTAAAGAAAACAGAGAGATCAGAGATGATGCCGTTCCTTCTTTGATACACTTTTGTTTTAAGTACGGAAGGAGGCATCATGACGATGCGACAAACAATATAATAACATGTATTTTGTATTTCTCACTGCTTATTTATTTATTCATACAGAACGTTCTAACAACGAACAATCCTTCACTTTCATTAATTTTTATTTATTCTGTAAGAGAGAGGGAGAGCCCGAAGAAAGTCGGACAAAAGGCATAGGTGCGATGAGAATTGATTAATATTCTCGTAATAATAAACAAATGTGTCAAGAAAGTTAATAACTATATTTCTAACACTTGTTCCGATAAAAAAGACCTATCTGCTCTTATCCATATTATCATATAACTAAAAGGATAATGAAAATCGAATATGTAATATTTTTGCTAGTAAGGTTATTCTGCTTTACTTTCCACAAAAGCCGAAAACTTATCAGTTAAACTCAAACAATGGCAGTAAACATTATTTCATTTCAATTCACAAGCATAAAGTCTCCTTGAAATTTCAATAACTGAAAATATCAGGCTCTATCATGCATGCTCCATCGCTATCATGATAAAGTGGAGTTGACCGGGAATGACTATTAATCTATCAAAAACATAATTGTTTTTTCCTTAAAAAAAATCGTTATTTTAAAGACATGTTTATTTACTAATGTCGATACCTCAGTCAATCAATATTTATTTTAGCTAGGAGTTACAGCAGGGAAGAGGTGTTGACAACCACAATTAAACCGGACACCATTTATGACTAATTTTCAACCTGAGGAGACGTCAGTTGAATGAGAATCCAGAAACATCCCGAACGATCCTGGTGGTTCATATCTTATGGAGAGCTAAAAGGTCTAATCTCGCAGCCTGTTTAGGAGCATGTTTTAACCACTGATGAGACAGTATCACTGATTGAACTCTTTTTTACATGAGTATTACTAACGAGGGAACCTCCCGAGGTGTCCCCTTCCAATTTCAATGATTTGTACATGGATCGATAGATCTCAGTGAGATAGTAAATACCCTAAAAGGATTCGGGTGCATAACTCTGGAAGACCCGGTTTTATGGAAAACCAGTTTT